TTTTGTCTAGGTCTAGTGCAACAGGCATTTATGACAGGAATTGTATTAATTTCTCACCTCCACCCATTTCTAACACAAAAACTAAACAAACACATTGGGAGATTGTGAATACAAATGCATTTCTTTAAGTGGATCGATCCCAGGGTGGAGTTGCTCATTGCAGTAGACACTGTCATTATATTCCCCACATTAGAATTCTTCTGTAGCTGCATTTATACAGTACTCACATTTTATAATTTACTGCAGATCTTTAGCTCTGGCAGACTCATCTGCTTTCGATCAGTATCTGGAAGTAATGCGCAGAATGAGCATACGTATTGCTTTGGTGTCGAAGTCTATGCAACACTTTCAAATAAAATAATCAAGCTGTGAATTTCCATACCAGAATGTTCGCTACAGTAAGCCTCCACGTTATGAAAGATGTAAAAGCTAGTATATTGTAAAGAACATGGATTCATATTTGTAACATTACATTTTGTACAGAAATTCTGAACTATTTTGAGCCTTAGAGCACTAACTGACAAGCAGCTCCTCCATCAAACAGTTGTACTAAACCTACTACTCCTCTGGCTACCCAGTCTGCAATCTACATATGAGTCACACTCAGGATGTTTTGTGCACTGTAGTTTCATTAGCTAATTTAGTTCTGCTTAAGTCTGTCTGGTATAGAAATCTTCAAATTCATTTAAGTGTAGCTTTCAGCTGTTGGTCAAAGGGAACATGTTCTAATTAAACAATTATGGCAACAAGCTGAATTGCACCGGAACCAGAGAAGCAGTTTGAAGTGAAGGAGGACAGCATTGAGCAGTCTGCTGTTGTTTGTGAAGATCATGCAAGATCCGTTATCATCACTGTCTACTTTTGTTACCGTTTGAGGAAGTACTTCAATTTTCTTTCAAAATGTAAATAAGCCGGCACATTACAATGTGTCAGATATCTGGCTGACACCCAAAAATTGCATAAAAACAGAATACTGGAAAATTGCAGCTGGGCAAGCAGCATTTGAAAGAGAAAGCTGCGTAATGCAATATTTTGGGGTAGGATCCATGAAAACCAAGGTCCCACCCAAAATAATCTGTTAGAAGGTGATTAATCTTCTCTCTTTGTAATGTTGTCCCTCAAGGCCTGGAATCATTAACATTGTTAGGAAATGCATTTTAGATTTTCAGTAATTACAGTTTGTTTTGAATCTGAATATTTCAGGCTTCTCCTGATAGCTCACAAAATAACTCAACTGCACACAGCTTTGTCATACACCAATAACTGTCTGCCTTTAATGCCTAATTTTGGTGACAGTGGTGTCAGAGTATGTACATAAAGCAACAAATTGCACCTTCTGAGGGCAGTCTTGTGCATCTTGCTCAGTGCAGGAAACATCAGCTAAACCAAGGTGTGATTTCAGGTATTAAATGTTTGAAGTTTCAAAGAAAAACATTTCCAATTTGTTTAAGTTTTCAATTTTTTTTACCACTTTTCCACCTCTAGAAATTCATTGGCAATGGTGAAAATGACGCCTGCATTGCAATATGCAATCGACTGCTTAAATGAGATTTCATGATGGCTGATTTTATAATCTAAAATGGGCATGGCCTCGACATGTACTGTTCAAACAATGACAATAGGAATGGGATTTGAAGCTGGTGCACAGTATTGTATACGAGAGAAGAGCAATGCAGAGCCTCTTTTCAATTGAGTTCTGGAAATTAGGTATTAGTCAGCTGCAGAGTTTGGTTCACGCAGCTAAACTGAAGCACCATTTTTGAAAGTGAAATTGCTAGATGCTTAGTAAACTTATGAAGTACGCCAGTAATTTTGCAGCTATCAGAAACCTGAAGATTCCACATTTGGGCAAAAGGGCAGCTCAAATGTTCTCAGATTTTGCTGACCTCTCTAATTGAACCTTATAAATATTCAACAGAATCCAATCTTCCAGTGTTCCTTTCTCCTCTGTGTACTTTTACAACTGAACAGCATGAAAGGTGCTTTTGGGCTGCTGGTAACATCTTATTAGAAAATACAATTGGATGGTAGATGCTCTACTTCCTATTCACTATGTCCTGAGGCAGTTGTAGTGTCTTATGCTAAATAAGGAACTTATGAAGATTGATTGGCCTTTAATGTTAGATAATATTTTCCAAACCAGATTTTCAATAATGAATACTTTGCTAGGAAAAGAATATGGTTCTGGACATGTACATCTCTAAGGTTATGGAGATAGATATGCACTGATATAAGCAAATATGTGACATACAATGCTTTCTCTTCCTTTATCTATGCTGAATACGCATTCACTATTGGACTTGAATAATTACCAATTCATAGAATTATACAGCACAGAAGGAGACCATTCGGCCCATCATGTCTGTGCCGGCTCTTTGAAAAGAGATACCCAAATCAATCCCACTGCCCCGCTTTCTCTCCCCATTACCCTCAAACTTGTCCTCCCCAAATAATTATCTACTTCTCTCTTAAAAGTTGTTATTGAATCAGCTTCCACCACCCTTTCAGGCACACAGTTCTCTCTCAATTCAAACAGAAGTAAGGGAAGTTTGTGACCTGGATGTTATGCTTGGTTCCCTTTTGGGACAAACAATGGTTTGTGGAGGACTAGGCATGACAGAATTTGTGTTGTGTGGGGAGCGAAGAAAGTGCAGGATTTTAGTCCTTTTCTAGTTTAATTCTTTCTTGAATTCTTTCTTCTGTGTGAAATAAAATGGATCAGTAATCATCCAAGCCCAACAGCGAGTGTGCAGTCTGCATGCATAAAGGGAAGAGAGACTGAGTGACATTAATGTAATATAATGAAATGGAACAAAAATGTCAGTGTGTTCGAAATTACCAGAATCTGGCAAACCCAAGACCAGCTGTTTTCCTCCTGCTTGTACGTTTTTTTAAAAAATTCTGGCTGATGAACGTGAGTTTTATTTGACTGTAGTGATTAAAATAAAAACCTACAACACTAGATTGAAATTGCCAATTAAATGAAATGCTGGTTTGCAGCCTGACCATGTGGGTTGAGTTGGGGCTGATGGGAAGGTGATTGGAGCAAGAATTACCACTAGGTTTCATTGGAAATAAAGGTGAATTGCAGTCTGGCATCTGGGCTATTTAACATGGTCACTGTCCAGGGCAAATTAATTTTACATCTTAATGGGCACTGACTTCATGAGAAACACATTTTGCAGATGTTTTGGGTTTGTTTGGGAGCTGGAGTATTGTGCAACTTTAAATTCTAACCCCATTCTTAGAGAAATGAGCTATGAGCTATGATTAGCTAAGCTAGGGCTCTTCAGTTTTAATAGATGTCCCAGACAGACCATAAAAAAAGGGAATGAAAATAAAAACCCAGAACAATATTTTAGGATTTATCAAACAAAAAGAGCAGAATGAAATAGGTTTATAGTGGCAAAAGTCAACATCAGGACAGACACCAGGAGATATTTATTTACCCAGAGAGTGATTAATGACTAGAACAGGTTGCTGGGAAGGGTGGTTGAGTCCAGGATTGTGGACTCATTTAAATACTCTGCTGGGAAGACAGTAGGGTAGGTATTCTGCAAAAGATGAGATCAACTGGGCTGAAGGGTCATCTTCACCCAAATCCAATCTTGTGGAAAAAAAAAGTAAAATATTTAACCTCAGGCCCCTCCTCCATCTGCAAAGAAACAGATCACAAGCAAAACTGGTGAACTAGTAAATGTTAAAAATTGGTGGGAGGAAAGAGGGGGAAATATCATGGTGGTGGGAGTACCAGTGATTACCCAGTGTGGGAGGATCCCTCTAATCAGATTGCTGATCTGTCAACCTACGCAGGCAAGGAAATATCAATTGAAAGTATTATAGAAATATGGTTAGGCTTAGATATAGATCAGTATTTTGTAATGAGCACAACCTGTTCCATAACAGTAACTCTGTAGAAAAATCACACTCCTACATATGTTCATCTTTGCTTCAAATGCAGGTTTCTGCCCCAGATAATTAATTTTACTGGAAATAGTCTAATTATAACACCGAAAGAACATATTGCGAGAGAAGCTAACATCAAAACAATATTTAATAGGCAATAATGAAAAGTATGGAAAAGAGCAAGGAATTGGGCAATAAAATTCACTGCAACCACTGAAAGACAACCACACTGAAGCAAAGTGGAAAAGGTTAGGTTTGTAATTGTATAAGGTTTTTATGCTTATACACACTACCAACTGTTGCCTGAATCATCACCATTTCACAATATTTATTTTGAAAAAAAATTTGCAAACAAAGAGTGAAAAGTAGCAAAAGTCAAGTCTGGATTCCAGAATTCTGTATCATTAATGTTTGGATATTAATCAAGTATGATATTATGTATAATGCATTAGCCAATACATACTAAATTCTTTTTACAGTTTTACTTAATAAAAAACAATTTTCTGCATCAATGTGTGTCCTCCAAGCAAAAGGATACCAGTAGCAGGGAAAGAAATGTCTGCACAATTCCAACTGCAGAATAATATTTCCCTTTACAACCAGCCATTAACCCATCTCTGAGTGAGACAGTCATTTTAGTGTAACTATAACTAGCTTTATCTCATGTTTAGGTTTGAACTCTGGTCTTGAGATGAAAGGACAGTGATATCCAAATGTAATTTGTAAACTCTATGGGAGAAAAGTCATATGATACATTTTGCAGAGTAAATTAATAGCATCTCCTCCCCCTTAGTTATATTTTTGCCTTTTCTCTTTAAGCCTCCCTATGCATTCCATCATATCTCAGTCAGCAAGCGGGCACATTACCTGCACATTCTGGACAAAGCCACTTTGAGCATTAGGATATCTCATAAGAATAGACTGGGAAAGGCTGGAATCTCAGCGCATGGTAAGCCATAAACCCATGCTCTGCTTATTCTGTGATGCATAGCGTTGGGAGCACGGACAAGGCACCAGTATTCTCAGCAGCCAGTCATTATTTGTGATACAATTACTTTTTGTCACTTTTCTAATGACATTTTTCCATCCTACAGATCAGGCAACTGCACTGAAGGTATCCGCAGGACACACCATCAACACTTGCCCTGAAGGGCAGAATATCACCCTGAAATGCAGCCTCTCAGGACACCTAATGTACAAGCATGACATGTTGGCCAATGTTTGGTATTTCAACCACATCAAAAATAAAGCGTGCACAGACAGGTTGCACATCCGTAACATTTCAAGCAAACCTCAGTCTCATACTGAGAACAAGGGCCAAGGGGTCTACATGGGATCAGATCACAGAGGTGTATTTTGGGTCACTATTACTAACTTGTCGTCAGCTGATGAAGGTGTTTACTGCTGCATGGTACATGAATTTCACAAATCACATGATAAACACCATCTTGCCAACCACAGGTCTGTGCATAGTATGAGCGAGATAAAGATCCTTCATGGTATGTATCTTGAGAACGTGATTTTTGTCAAATTAATTAAATTTATATTATTACTAATTATTATTGTAATAGTGATAATAATTAATAATAATCCTTACATTTGATATAGCCCTTATAACAATGTCAAGACACACTTTCACACTGCTGTTAGGGTTGATTATGCGCGGATTGATTTGAAAATGATCATTCCTTGTGATAGTTGTGTGGGGCAATGACAAAAGTTTTAGTAACTGATGTTACACTTAGTGGACAGAATCAGTGAATCATCTTTCTGAGAAACTCATTTGTACCTGGGCAGATTAATATGGGGATTTACATGGAAACCCATAAGTCTCAGAGTGAGGAGAGCCTGCTGACAGGATTCAGGTGGGTCAATGTAAATTAAGCCACCAACAACTATTTGAAGATATAGATAACACTTGCTTTGCTGTGTGGCTAACAAGTAAATATTATGGGATTTCTCCCTTTCTCCACCCATTGCCATTCTGTCTTTACAAAATACAATACAAAATTACATTTGTATAGCGCCTTTCACATCGGGATGGCTCCCCAAATAGCTTTCTTTCCTACTTGACCAACTTGCAATGCTCTCTAAAAGTAGCGACCTTTCCTTTACATTACTGCAGGGAAAAAAATATTTTATGAGCAATCATTATAAGATAGACCTCATTGTACCTCTATTTTCTCCCCATCAAATTCTGCAATAATAATAATAATCCTTGCATTTGAATTAGCGCTTTTCACGTCGGGAGGACGTCCCAAAGCGCTTCACAGAACACACTGTAAAGTGAATTGACTGTATATTTATGGGCGAACGTGGCAGCCAATTGCGCACAGCAATGTCCCACAAACAGTTGTAGATTGAAAATGACCAATTTATTATAGTTTTTGGTTTTGGAGAGATTATTATTAGGCGTGTGGAGTAAGGAAACTTGCCCAAGGTTTCGCCCTGCCTGGAATTGAACTCAGGTCTCTCACTTGCAAAGCGAGTGCTCTAACCACTGAGCTACAGGACTCCACGCAAGCATCACTATCAAAGCAAAACGGGAGAATTTTTGCAGAAACCTTTGCCCCAAAGAATAGTGCCCTGCACGCAGGGTAGCGTCTCAGAGCACTTAACAGTAGTGGAGTCTGACTCCCAGCTGTGGGGAGGGGGGAGGTGACTGTAAGCATGATCGAAGAGGAAGGTTTTCAGGCAGGACTTGAAAAAGGGGAGAGGGGGTGCAAGGCGGAGGGGTTGAGGGAGAGTGTTCCAGAGTAGTAGCTGAAAGCGCTACCTCCGATGGTGGGGCCGAGGGTGCAAGGGACGAAGCCGGTGCTAGTTGAGCGGAGGTGCTGGGAGGTGGATTGGGGAGTTAGGAGGTCGGAGAACTAGGGAGGTTCCAGAGAGTGAAGGGATTTGAATACTAGTGTGGGGATCTTGAAGTCGATCCGATCGGTGATGGGGAGCCAGTGGATCCTGGCCAGAACTGGTGAGATGTGTGTATGGAGTTTGGTCCGGGTAAATAAGTGGGCAGCAGAATTTTTAATGAGCTGGATCTTTTGAATAGTGGAGCTGGGGAAACTGGCGAGGAGTGCATTTGAGTATTGCAGGCAGAAGCTGATAAACGTATGCACAAGGGTTTCGGCTGCATTTGGAGTAAGGTACAATCAGAGGCGGGCAAGGTGGCGGAGGTGGAAGAAGGTGGGCCTGGTCAGAGACTGGATGTGGGGGAGGAAGGACATAGGCTCCTTATTGATGCAATTTTACTGGGGGGACAAACACATTCACTGGGACTGACTGTAAGACGTAGGAGAAGGAGTAGGCCATTCGGCCCCTTGAACCTTCCCCACCATTTAATAAAATCATGGCTGATCTTCTAACCTGATTCCATTTACCCGCCCTAACCCTTTATCCCTTAATCCCTCTATCCTTTAGAAATTTATCAACTTCAGTCTTGAATATGTTCAAGGACTGAGCATCCACAGCTTTCTGGGGTAGAGAATTCCATAAATTCACTATCCTCTGAATAAAGAAATGTTTCCTCAACTCAGTTCGAAAAGGCTGACCCTTAATCTTGAGATTATGACCCCTAGTTTTAGATTCTCCATCCAGGGGAAACAGTCTCACAGCATCTACCCTGTCAAGACCCTTAAGAATCTTATAGATTTCTATAAGATCACCTCTAATTCTTCTATATGCTAAAGAATATAGGCCTAGTTTACTCAACCTATCCTCATAGGTCAACCCCCTCATCCCAGGAACCAACCTAATGAAACTACGCTGTACCCCTTCTAAGGCGAATATGTCCTTTCTCAAATAAGGAGATCAAAACTGCACACAATATTCTACGTGCGGTCTCACCAAGGCCTTATACAACTGCAGCAAGACTTCCCTACTCTTGTACTCTAACCCTTTTGCAACTAACGCCAACATGGCATTAGCCTTCCTAGTTGCTTGCTGTACCTGCATACTAACATTTTGAGACTGGCGTACAAGGACACCCAAGTCCCTCTGAACACTAACACTAGTCCCCCTCTAGAAAATAATCCGCTTTTCTATTTTTACTACCTAGATGAATAACTTCACACTTCCCCACGTTATACACCATCTGCCACCTTCTTGCCCACTCACCTAGGCCTGTCTATGTCCCTTTGCATTCTTCGTGTGTCATCCTCACAGCTTACTCTCCCACCTATCTTCATATCGTCTGCGAATTTAGATATGTTAAGTTCTATTTCCTCATCTAAATCATTGATATTGATTATGTAAATAATTGAGGCCCAAGCATTGATCCTAAAACCCTAGGATGCAGGCCATCAGGTCCAGGGGAGTTATTGGTTTTTAATCCTATCAATTTCTCTAGTACTATTGGTTTACTGATGTTCATTTCTTTAAGTTCCTCACTAACATTAGCCTCCAGGTTCCCCTCTACTTTCGGTAAGTTTTCAGTGTCCTCTAATGTGAAGACAGAAGCAAAATATTTGTTTAATGACTCTGCCATTTCTTTATTCCTGTTGTAATTTCTCCGATCTCTGCCTGCAATGGACCCACATTCACTTTTGATAGTCTCTTCCTCTTTATGTACTTGTAAAAACTCTTACAATCTGTCTTTATGTTCCTAGCTAGTTTACCCTCATATTCCATTTTCTTCCTCTTAATCAGTTTCTTGGTTTTCCTTTGCTGTTCTATAAATCCCTCCCAATCCTCTGGTTGGGACTGGTTTGATTGTCTTCATGCAAAGGAAATGTTACTGTTTCTGAACACTGCTGTCAGTAAAATTCAATACATTAAAACATTTGAAATGTTAACCTGCCTAAACCCGATTCAATATGTTTTACAGGAAATAGGTCCCAACAAAATTGTGCTTCTTATGATTTTATCAGTGGAGTATCAGACGAAGAAGGTAAGAGTTCAGATCTCTAATTCTGTAATTCTATTTTTGGGCTAATTTCTGGGAATTTGCATGATGTTCACATTTCTTTGTTAATTTGAAAGGACATCAGAGAGGCCTGAATTTCAGGCTCTGCCAGAATTCTTCAACCAATAGAAATGCACAGATTAATACCTGTTTATTCAGTGTTAACAAAAGTGGGTTTATTTACAGATTGAATATCTTTGTGGGTGAGTAATATTCAATGTATGTCAAGTAATGTACTCTTGTTTTTTTAGTTACCACAGCGGTTGTATTGGCTACAGTGGGGTGCGTGATTGGCATCTTGTCTCTTCCTCTCATTCTGCTTCTCATTTACAAACAAAGACAGGGTGCAGCCATCAGGAGAAGTATGTGCAAATCAACACTTCCAAAACATGTCAAAACGTATGCGCTCAGTCTTGAGCAGCTAGCTTTTAAGAGTTAAATGCATTTTTAAACCATTTTCCTTTTGTTTTAATTAATGTTAACAAAATAACCTCAAATATTTGGCCATATGTGGAACATATTACTTGGTACTAGAATTCAATTGCATCAGATTAAAGTCAATATGTTAGGTGCAGTTAACCCGTGGAGTCCTGCAGCTCAGTGGTTAGAGCACTCGCCTTGCAAGCGAGACACCTGGGTTCAATTCCAGGCAGAGGGCAAAACCTTGGGCAAGTTTCCTTACTCCACACCCCTAATAATAATCCCTCCAAAACAAAAACAATAATAAATTGGTCATTTTCAATCAACGACTGTTTGTGGGACACTGCTGTGCGCAATTTGCTGCCGCGTTTCGCCCACAAATATACGGTCAATTCACCTTACAGTCTATTCTCTGAAGAACTTTGAGACGTTGAGAAGACGTGAAAAGCGCTATATCAAATGCAAGGATTATTATTATTTTATTATTATTTATATTCTCAAGACAAACTCCTTGAAACAAATCTCCTGCACTATTTTGTCCACACAACTTATCTGCATAATATGGTTAGAACTCTTGACAGGTACCCAAATGTAGTTACAGTTAACTGACTCACTTTCTTTAATGATCTAACAGCTACAAAAATAATCAAAACATATCTAACCATTCAGAGAAAATGTTCTTTGTGACATACAAAGTGATGTGGCTAATAACTGGGGCAATTTTATAAATCCAGTTATGGTTTCAGAGTTACTGGAGATAGTAGATCCTCATCCTCACCTACAAGGCCATTCACGGTCTTGCTCCCTCCTACCTCTCCGACCTACTATCCCCCTACCTACCTGCCCGTACCCTCCGTTCCTCTGGCTCCGGTCTGCTCCACATCCCCCGCCCCAACCGCCCTACCATCAGTGGCCGGGCCTTCAGCCTCTCAGCCCCTCGGCTCTGGAACTCTATCCCCCAGTGCCTTCGCCTTGCTTCCTCCCTTTCCTCCTTCAAGGCCGGTCTCAAGAACTTTCTCTTTGACCGTGCCTTCAGCTCCCCTCTCGACTCTCTACCCCCTCCTCGCTCCCTCCCCTCACCCTGACCATTTCCCCCCTGCTCGGGTCCTGACCCAACTGTACAGCGCCTTGGGACGTCCTCCCGACGTGAAAGGCGCTCTATAAATGGAATCTTGTTGTTGTTGTTGTAGATAGTGTTTGCAACTGAATTTAATTGGCATAATTTAATGGGTTATTCCCATGACATCAGCATTTGTTCCAAGTTTCGTCAATAAAATAGAAGATATAAGCCACACTTTTGTTAAACTACTGAATATGAAAATGTTACACTGCCAACGCTTCCTCCCTGCCCCTCCTCCCAGCATATCTGAAACAGTTGTACAATATTGCTGACACAATTAAACATCATCAAGCGCTACTGATAAAGAGATGCGCTTCATCCGTCTGTGGTATCAGACAGCTCACCAAACCCCAGGAAATGATTCACATTCTTATAATGATTTGAATAAAAGATCGATTCCTCACAATGGTCTCTTTTATTGCAGGAGCTCATGAGCTTGTAAGAATGGACAGGTAATTTTTTTTTATTGTGCTTTTCTTTAAAAAAAAATGTATTTTACGCTCATTTTTCTTCCCATCTCACACATGAAACGTGCCCGAACTTGGTTAGATTCTTGCTGCCAGGCCTCAAGATTGAAGCTGGGAATTGGTAGCTATAAAGGAAATCAGAATTTCTCTTCCTCTTTGCGAGAAACCTTAATTGGAGAATGGAAACGTAATGAATAATGAGTCAAAGGTTGAAACTCGCCTGGCACTCTGATTTCCACTATGTGTTGTTGCCTCAATGCCCATTTTTTCCTCTTCTGTCTACCCAAGGACACTTAAGACGCCTGTTGGCTTCACTTTTAGTTTTCAGTACTTCAGGATAGGAGCCTGTAATTCTACAATCAAACTGAGAAGGGAAGAGTTGCTCTGAACAGCAGGATTCAGAGCATTAGTGGAATGCTTGAAGGAGGTTATCATAATATTGCCACCTTCTTACCTCTGGTTTTGCTTAGGGAAGAAACAGACTGATCCTCCAGTCAACACAACAATCCCTTTCATCCCCTCCTTGCAATATTGAAACTAAGTATCTTTGTCCTCATTTAAAACGTCATGCTTAGGGAAATGTTTTAAATTTCTTTAATAGATATTAGACACTGAAAATTATTTTAAACCGTTGTCTTCTGCAACTTAGTATTCTACAGTTCCAGTTAGAAAGAGGAACATGGAAGAAAGATGAGGTGAACAAAATATGTCGGCATTCTTTCTATTGGTGCGCATCTGGCTAGATTGGATTTTGTTCTTCCATCTCTAGGATCAATGTCAGGCCAAATTGATCAGAACATTGTACAACATTATTCTTACTTTGGTGCCACATTGGCAACCTCATTAAAAACTGGGAAAGGGAATGCAGTTCTGTGAAGGCATCAGGATGAGGTACACTTCAGAGGAGAAGCAGCTTTGCTCTGAAAGTGTCAGTGCTATACCCAGTGTGAAAGTACTTGATTTTATCTTGTGCTTTTAGTGCTACAGGGTGGTGGTGGTGGGGGGGGGGGGCAGAGCTGGCTCTACCCTGCTACATACAAAAAAGTAAAATATTGCACTATATAAAAAGGTAAAATATGAAAAAAACTTTCAGAGTTTGAAGACTGACATAGATTTAAAATAGTTTTATTTGGAGTATTGCAATATTGCAAAAAGAATTTCCAATAGGTCTACCACCAAAGCCCAGCTGAGGAACATAGTACTGTTAAAAATAGATCAAAAGGGGAACTACTTGGAAAAAGAATGAGGAAAATATACCATATTTTGTATCAGCTGTCAGATTTAAATAAACGCAGTGCAGAAACCAACAAACAGTTCCAGAAAGTTTGAGTGTTTTTCTCATTTGCAGTGAGGCCAGAGGTGTGGAAAACCCAGTATTTGATGAGCTGCCAGGCCAACATTCAGAAGTGAAACCACGAAGTCTAGATATCAGTGGACGTCTTCACTCGGAATCTGATCGTCACCTTCTCTCTGAACCTAACACTCCCCTTTCCCCAGATCCTCCAATACGATACTTCCCAGAATTGGGTAAGTTTGCCATCTGTTTCCAGCTGTTTATCTTTCATTCTTTCCTACGTGGGTGTGTTTTGCAGACTTAGCAACTTGAGGTTAAAGCAGCAATATATTGAGAATTCTCTGTAAATTCAATCATTCTGGATGAACTCAATGCTGAGATATAGTTTCCCTGCCACATTAAACATTCCAAATGACAAAATCACTACTGCAAGTTGCTACAAATCAACCCTGGTGAGATAGCTGCTGTCAAACAGTTGCAAAACATGTAGCACGACACACAAGTAAGTCACTGGACAATCAGTGAATACGTCTGTTAAACTGATTTATTTATTAAGAAACACACAGTAGAGATAGGATGGGAAATTTCCTGCCAGGAAGGCATGTTTTTGAACCTGCTGGAGTTTGATACAGATATTGTATGTTTTACACACTTATGATTTTTTGTGACCAATTTCTCTGGTCTTGAGCCTGTCTTTGGAGGGACCTGGTGATTATAAAATGGGTGGTTTTGGCAGCTCCAGAGTTAGCCCATTCAGAGTTGGACCTCCAGTTGTTTCCACATATCAGAGATCTGATTCCTTAATGTCAAGTGGCCAAACTGGAATGAGTAAGCCTGGATAAAACTCTGCCTTTGCATAAATATCGCAAAGATGACAAGTGAACCGATGTTAAGAAGGTTTGTTTTGCAATGTAGTCTCTGTCAAACAGTGCTAACAGAATCACAAACTAAGCTAAACTAAGCTAGCAGCAATGTCACTTGATCTGGCTTCTTTGATCATTCTCCGATCAGGGTACTTGCACAATGATGTCATGATGTCCGTGCTCACATGGAAGGCCATTTGACACAGATAGTTTCCAAAACTCTGGGGCCTCTTTAACACCATGTCACTCAGGCTTTCTTGATTAGAATATATTTCTTATCTTGAAATACTCAAGGCTTTTTCGACCTACTTTATAATTTATTCTGTGAAGTGCTTTGAGACGTCTAAACAACGTGATAAGGTGCTATATCGGGTCCTGTAGCTCAGTGGTTAGAGCAATCGCCTCGCAAGCAAGAGATCTGGGGTTGATTCCCAGCAGGGCGAAACCTTGAGTAAGTTTCCTTACTCCACACACCTGACAATAATCCCGCAAGAAAATAAACAATAATAAATTGGTCACTTTAATCCACAATTGTTTGTGGTATGCGCAATTAGCTGCTTCATTTCACCCACAAATATAACAGTCAATTCACTTTACAGTATATTTTGTGAAGTGTTTTGAGACCTCTAGAAGACGTGAAAAGCGCTATATTAAATGCAAGGATTATTATTATATCAACTGTAAGGATTATTATTATTTTCTGAGACAGTACTATATCAAGAGCATCATAACATGCTTTTATGCAAAAGTCAAACTTCTACAGAATTATGACTAGTAAGTATGCACATAGATACCAACAATAAGATAGAAAATGATTAGATTATTTCTGCAGGTACAGAAAATCCTGAGGTTAGGCAGAAAGATGTCAGATGGGATAACCTGACTGAAGTTTGTTTTACAGTTGAAAGGATTTCATTGTAAACCGTCTTGGAAACTACAACCATACATTTTGAAGAGAAAGGGCTATTTAGAAATATTTCACTTGTAGGTTTGAAAGTGGAGTACAATTATGATGCTGAAATACTAGGCAAACTGAAATACATTGGTCACATGGCAGGAGTGAACAACAACAACTGTTGCGTGAAAGGAAGGTAAAAATAAGCACACTGTGGTTGAGAAGCAGAGGAAATGTCACAAACAGTTTTGGAGTGCACATTAATAACAATGAACAAACTTGAGAGAAAAAACAAAGCAGGGCATACTTTTCCAAATATGTAAGGAAATGGGAGGAACTTTGACTTTACTCTTTGTGTAAAGATTGTTTTTCACATCTAATAAAATGCACTTTTTCTGTCAAAACAATTCATAGTATTCTGTTAAACCTCAAAAAAAGAGGTGTAAGAAATGGCTGAAACGTGTTTTGATGTTGAATTTTTTAAATGTATGTTGCAGAAACGCAGCTCCAAAATTTATATCAAACTATTGCCAGTTATTTGCTGTGCATTTTGAATCACTTCTCCTTTTCTTCAAGCGTAGGAGTTCTGTGTCTTTTATTGGAAGAAGAGAGAGGTGAAAATAACATTCAACACCAACATTCCTCTCCTTCTCCTTCCTGCCAATAAAAGCCACAAACAGAATGTAACAAACCTCATCTGTGCTGAGATAATGATGTGGCCATATGAACAAGGTGAAAACAGCAGTAAATAGCCTTTAGGGTGTTCCAGAACAATGATAAGCAAACAAAACCATTGGACAGTAGCTAAGTTAAATAACAATGGCCCAGATCCATAATTTCTACTTCAATATTTCTGCCTACCCATGGACAGATTTAACTATATTGGTAATACTGAAGTTGTCTTGTCATCGGGTTTGACCCGAATCAGTACAGATCAAAAAAGGTGGGAATGGTTAGGTAAGTTTCACTGTTGACTGTTTAAAAATGTTCTTGCTTCACTGGGAAGAAACATTGACACTTTACCCGCTTCATTTTCCTTTACAGATCCAGTTCCAGAACCCCAGTACTGATCTAGACGAATATATATGTTACACAGCCTCCACAACAGATAAGCCAAATTGGTGTGAGCACCTAAAAAAATTACAAGCAGCTAAACAGCAAGAGAAAATTATTTTCTCATTTCAAATAATGCTGAGAATATCTGTTGGTTGTAAAACACAGATTCAAATTCAAGGCCAAGCTATAAGATGGATTGCAGTTTTAACAGCATTAAGAAAACTATAGCATTATAAAAGGTATCTGTTTAATGCCGTTTTGTTTCAATTGCTGGGGTGGGGGAGTGAAGTAAAATATTGCCAAACATAATGCACTGATTTATCCCAGTATCTTATTGATCTGAATTAATGTCAGAATATATAAGTAAAAGAAAATGCTTAAGTCCATTGGTCAATGAGCCTCTTGTTGTGTATACGTGTGTACGTGCAGGGATCTGTTTAAAAGCATCTATTTTTTTCCCTTCCTTCAGATTTATTCATAGAATTGTGTATATTAAAAAAAACTTCCTGCCAAATTCAATGATTCATGCTTAGCAACCTCACAATCAAAGTTGGAACCAGACTATTTCTGAGACACGCAATGAACACAAGTTGAAAAATATATACAGGTGTATACAGCCCTAGCTAACAAAAATGCTGACAACATCCTTTGGCCATATCACACAATTTCATGAGGTTCAGATGAGTTTCTTTTTAGTTAAAAAAAATTCTCGCTATATATAAAAAAAATCAATATAGTGGCTCCCTCAATTGTTCCCAATTTTGGTGGATTTACCTCACTGGGACATTTGCTTTTGACACATTTGTGTTGCTGATGAAAATGTGTTGCTGTTACACAATCCTGGTCATATATTCTCTCACAGGAGGCTCACTAAAAATGGCAAGACATATAAAGGTGCATTTTAAAATGTGATATCCTACTTCAACTTGTATCATCAAGTGTACCTTTCTGAATGGTGCAAATGGTGTTCCTTCACCAGCTGCAAATACTTTTTTTTAAAGTCAGCATCACGTTTCAGGAGGTGCATTGACTGGAACTTTTCATTTTTCTTTTGTACATTATTCAATTGGATGTACATTGTTTAAGAATACAGAGAACGCAGTGGATGGTTGCAGGTGAATTTTGTAAGAGTACAAAATTGCTGCATAACTGGTGTTTATAGAGATATAGAATTAGTGAGGGTGACTTTCCCTCCAATGCACATCTAATAATTCAGTGTTTTTTTTCTTGTTTACATTGATGAAACTAAGGATGTTTCATTGTGGTGAGGTAGCTGGGCAGGTGAGGAAACCATTGTCAGTGCAGAATAATATGTGAGGAGTGTCACAGTATGAATGATTTTTGAAAGTTGAAATTCATAAGAAAATAGACACATGGAAGAGGGATCATTTTCACTAAGCTCTTTAGAGTTAATTAGAAAGAAATATGGTGGAATATTACTATGCCTACATTTAGTTAATGCATTAATAACAAATGAATCTTCAAGTTGTATATATTAAAATAAGCACAAACAATTTAATTTGTTAACTTTGTTGAGGGAAATGGGTCTGATTTTATGTTATGTGAGGTATTAGAAGTATTTCAGCAGTATGCAATGACCTATTAGTTTTATTGATGCTTAGTTTTGAATGTATTAAGTGCACAAATCAAACAAGATGACAGTTTTTCATTTTCAGTTTCTGATATGATTGGTGTGATGTTTCATTACATCTAACTGCTCTGACCTGTTCATGCACCAATTTGCTGTGAGAACACATGGCGTCTCAGCACCTGTACATTCTCNTTTTTTTGTTATATTATATTATTGCATTCATCAAAAGGCTCATTGTAGTTTTGAAGCTTGACTGTTGACTAATTTCTCACTTTAAACAAACATCACTGTGGTCCTGAAGTCACAGTTTCCACCTATGTAAAACCGCTCGTGCCATTTGATGACAATGATGATGATGTTCCAGCAATTAAGTAGCCTTTTTGCTTGACTGTGATAAAATACAATGCTAAAATAATTCCAGTGCCAAGATCTGGGACAGATGGCAAATGTCATAACACAAGACCTCAGACTTATTCTGATATTTGCCAACAGATACATAATACAAAACCAACAAAACAATGACTATATGTCGATGGCCCAAAGTGAGACTATTTTGCTACCTGAATGCAAACTGGTTTTAAAGAAATTTTTTTGCAAATAATCAGCTAAATCCAAAGGAACAGCTAGAATATTTTAAGCAGTCAGAGGGTTATGGAATGCCTCACCTAGAGCAAATGTTGAAGCAGAATCCATAAATAGCTTTCAAAAAGAAATTGAACCAAGTTTGTGGGGAAAAGGGCAGAGGAGTGAGTGAAAATTAACAGCTTTCAGAGATTAGATATTTCGTATAATATTACATGACAGCTTCTACCCATTGAGTTGGGTAATTGACCACGGCTCGTGTTTCATGAGCTTCCTTTCAAATGTTCTCACCCTGCTAGCTGACCTTTATAAGCACCACTTGAACGGAACAAGATGAGCATTTGCAATGCTTTGTCTTTGCTATAGGTTATAGCAACTTTTAACTGCAGGATGCACAAACAACTGCTTTGTGAATTCCATATCTCCAGAAAACACAATTTTATTGATTATTAGCTCTATGTCACTTGAGATCCTCCCGTAGCTTAGGAAACAAAAACACAGCTAAAATTTAAAATGCTCATTTTAGTTTTAAAAAAGGGAAACTATATTGTCAGGATAAATAGAATGAACTTGATGCTCTTCTTATTACATAAGTGGAAGGGAAACATTTTCACCTCCAATTAGTTGTCATTGCAATCACTCTAACCGCCAACAACTCCTGGAAGTTCACATCTACCCAATGAAATGTTTTCATCTCACACAAAGAGACATGGATTATAGATGCTCAGATGTGAGGAGAAGCTTTATTACTGTAATGTCATATTTGAAACAAATATTGTTCTAAAAGTTCATACTTTCCCTTCTATTTTTGCCTTACTTTTAATTATTATTTCCAAATTATGGTCTACACTAACTCTTGTGTAATTTTATCCCCAAGTTGAAGTTTTGCATTTACTTGCTTTCCTTTGGCTCTTGAGGCCTGTTCTTCCGGAGTCAAGCCACATAGTCACAAATTAGACACTGATTAGCAACTGCAAAAGCCACTGATTAATCTAATTGAGAATCTGGTGCTTTAAGGATTAACCCCACACCTGAGTAAAATCAGATGCTCAGTGAGATACTTAATCAACAACTCAGGGAAGCAACAAGCCCTGAAATTAACTGGCTCTGGGTCGTCATGGCCTTTAACAAGGGGATATAATTTTAAAATTAGAGCTAAACTGGTTAAAAGTGACTCCACAACACATTTTTGCACCAAGGTTGCTGAAATGCAGATTGAATAGTCTTGGGTGCAGAATTAATGCGGGATGAAGATGGATAAGTACTTAGGAAGTGAGGATGTATAACAATACTGAGAAAATAGGAGTTGCCATAACTTGATATAATGGTAGAAGAGCCTCAAAGGGTTGGATAGCCTTTTCAAGGTAATATAATGCTATGACCTTCTTACAGGGTCCAGACATTTTAGTGTGCATCTCCAATAGGTCAAACCAACTATGGCACAGTTTGGGCAATTTTGTATTTAAAGGATTCACTTGATCAAGGAAAAGTGAAAATAACAGTTGGACATGCACAGCTGTACATTACAATTTTGTGTTGGGGTGTTCCTTATAATGGAATATTCAATGTTTTTTGTGTAAATAGGAACAATGCCAAAGAGTTGCATAAGTTTTGGCGATGGTGTTATCTGAATTGAATCAGTAATTTAAAGGGAAACCACAACATCATGTCAGCCAAGATTCAGTATCTGAATACAATAGTTTCTGTCATTTCAGTGTTTGTGTGGGGCTGCTAGAAGGCTTAAATATCTGAGGCTGAACAAAGCTTTCAGTAAAAGAGGGGGCAGGGGAAGACGGGGAAAAAACCTGCAACTCCAAGAAATGGAAGTGCTGAGGTGTTCTAGCTTGGCATGATCTACAGATTAATTTGCAAAAGATTTCTGGGTCAATCTGCAGGGGCAGATTTTCATTGAATTGCCAATTTGCAACTGCAGCACAAGAAGGGAAACTGCGAAAAGTTACCAACGTGGTTAAAGGTTTGATTTTCCAGATTCTAATGTTCAGAAAGTTAAGTGTGGTGGTGACTTTAAGCACCTTATTGCATAACAAGTAGTCAAACCTCATTTAGCTTATTTTGCAGGGAAAATTAATCTTTTCTACTGTATTAGGGACTTAGTACATTTAGATTGGAGTTTGCAATCTTGTGAGTTCACTTGGTGCCATTTAAAAAAAATTAAAACGATATCTCAACTTTGGTTGAAGAAAGTTTTTCAATGTGCTTGATTTTTTAAAAATCAGCATTACCATGAGTCTAATGGTGTAGCATTATAAAATACTTTCACTATTCTTGTTACTTGTTCAGAACCTTGACTGATATGGATCTGTAATAAGGTACCTGCAGCCTTTGCAGCTACAATGCTTCACCAAAGTACACAAGCTATCAGTCTTTTCCAAAGACTGTGCTCAAATCCAAGATATATTCTATTGATTTTAAAAGAAAGTTACTTCTAGGGTTTAACTAAACTAGGTTAGGCCTGACATTGAAACTTGCTTAGAACCAATGGCTTTAAATTCTGTATTTTTTTCCAGTATTATTTTAGGGATTTTTCTTAAAAATTAGTTTATGAAATGAATAATTTTCCTTCAGCCTGCAAGAATGACTAGGTATGGACTTTTTCTCTCTTGTGCTCTCATGAATTGTATATCTACATATTTTAAATGTTCAGGTTTTTTTTCTGTTACTGGTTTAACTGCATTTAATTGATTCATCATCACTGCTTTGGGACAATATATGGGTTATAAATCAATTGTGTACCATTTTATTTTTATATAACAAACTGTACCATTTTATTGCTTAATCATGCCTTGTTTTACACATTCAAAAGCATATATGCGTATATTCAATAAATAAAACCATTTTATACAACTGTGTTTTTGTTAAAATAATTTTAGTTCAATTGCTTTCAAAATTTTCAGTTCTACTTTTGATATTCATTGTTTCTATCAATTAATTTGTGTGCAATTCTTGAACAGTTAAATTGGCATTTAATTGGAATGCGGCAAATTGCTAAACAATGTACAGTAAAGTTCCTAAAAATTGGTCACGATGACAACCCAGTACATCAATAATGAAACCAGAAGAGCCTCTGTGGGCACATTGACATGTAAAGGACATTGTGTGTTTACTTTAGGGAATTGGTTCCATTTGTATATGTTGTAGTTAAGACAACATCTCACAGATGACTTGTCACCTCGAGGCTTGATTACGGGAATTCCCTTCTTATTGACCTTCCCTTCACAAGCTGCAGATCATCCAAACCTCTGCAGCTCGTGTACTCTCACGTACCAGGCTCTGCAACCCCATCACTCCCACCCTTGCCTGACTCCACTGGCTCCCCATCCCCCAGAGGATCGAGTTCAAGATCCTCGTCCTCACCTTAAGGCTATTCATGGCCTTGCCCTCTCTGACCTTCTGACTCCCTACCAACCTACCCGCTCATCAGGCTCTGGCCTGCTCCATGTCTCCCGCCCGACCCGCCCTACCATTGGTAGCCGGGCTTTCAGCCTCTCTGTCCCCACACTCTGGAACTCCATTCCACAGTCCCTTCGCCTCGCTTCCTCCCTTGTTTCCTTCAAGGTCGGTCTCAAGACCCTTCTCTTTGACCGTGCCTTTGGTCTCCCTCCCACCTCTCTGCCTCCCCTACACCACCCCTCCCCCATGTTCAGGCCCCGACATCTGACTGTTCAGCACTTTGGGACGTCCTCCCGACGTGAAAGGCACTCTATAAATGTAATTTTTGTCGTCGTTGTTGTCCACAGACACAATTTTCAATCCGTGCACCACTTCCTTCTCAAAACTGTTGATATGTCTGATATGAGGGCGTTTTTCAGACCAGCAAGACAGGAACTGTGGAAACAAGAGTCACAACCTTCCTGGTTTGTATCCCTTGCAATAATCGCAAAGCAGAAGTGGGAAGTCAGCTGAGTTTTGGAACGTGCAGAACCAAAAATGTGAAATGTTCTTTTTCTCTACAATTTCGGTAATGCAGCAGTTCCAACTTTATGTTAACCTTATGATAACTAGGTAAGCATAGAATAAAGAAAAACGGAATTCCTGTGAGCTGGCGTGGCATACTTTAGATTACCGGAAGGATCTTCATTTGGATGACTCTGATTCTGTTTTAGGGGATCCGGTTCAAAATAATCCTGCAAATTAGACCCTTCACATCAGTATTCACATCAGCTCAGCTATTGCTTCTCATTTTATTATTTCTTCTCAGTTTTCTAAAACAAACAAACTATGCCAACCAATCTGCAATACCGACAGAAAGAATACAAAAAATTTATACCTGCACAATACCACTTGGAGAAAACACTTTCTCTTATCTTTTATAACATATTTGTTGGAGAGCAAGTCTGTCATAATTCTACAGTTGTCTTCAACCGACAAGATTACAGGATGTTCTAGAAAGGATTATTTTTGCAACAGTCACATTTGGAAATGTTTGGAAGATATTGGAAGGAAGGTATTGCAGGGCACATAATCACTTTAGTGACACAAAGCAATTAATTTCTTCAAAGGTTGCTCTAGTCCTGGCATACTGAGAAATGAACTGAACCTCTCGAAAAGGAAACCTTAGTTTATCAATCTGCTGAGATGCAGGAAATGTGTATTGACTAATGAATTCTTGCTGTACCTAGTTGCACTGAGGTTTCCTGTTATTTACTCTATGTGTGAGGCAGGGAACACTATTTCATCAGCCCCTGTTGTCCTGCCCTAAATGAGAATATCTGACATTTACTCTGGAGATCAATTAATTACCCGTTTACTGAGCTTGTTAAGTAACAAAGATCAACTGGAGCATCCAAAATACATTGTTCCCATAACAAAGTCCTTCATTATGATAATGGCAATAATAATAATTTGGTGTAGCGTGTTTCTGTCCAGAGGATGTCCTGAAACGTTTAACAGGATAAACTGTAAAGTGGAGTGACTGTGTGGTTTGTGGGTAAATGTGGTAACCAATTTGCACGCAGCAATGTTCTACAAACAGGCATGAAGTGAATGACCAATTTTATTTGGAGGATTGATGCCATTGCTTGGGGACATCCTCCCAAAGTGAAAGTGGCAAGATAAACACAATTTTGTTGTTGATTATTGGCAAGGATATCAGGAAAAACTTCCTTCTCTTTTCGACTAGTGCCATGGGATCTTTAACTCCAACCTGAACAGGCAAGCCTAGCGCATTGATAGCCGGTTATGGTGTCTTCTAAATAGTTATTTTACACTTTGATATTGTTTCTCTCCATCTCTGAAATGAAGCTAGAGTGAAATATGCCAAGAATTTTTGATAATTTAAATGATTATAGAGTCTTTCGCATTGGGAGGCTATATCAAAATGCTTACACAGGATACGCTGTAAAGTGCAGTAACTGTATTTTGTAGTCAAAATAATTTGGTATCAAAAACTTATCAAAGGATCAGAATGCCTGAAAACCAGGCATTCGATAGTGGATGGCTTATTTATTTTAGAAAGATGTATAAATACAAAATCCAATTATAAAACAATAATGAAAAAATGGCTACTTTTTGCTAAGGATGTGAGATTGACCCCATTGTGCAAATAAATTAAGAAGCACTATTATGTTGTTTGAAAGGATCCCAAATACAGATTTGTTTTGTTATTTCAAGGTTGTGTTTTTGTACTCCCTCCCTGTTCCCGGATCTCAATGGACTTTGCCAACATCATGGATTGAGTGAGTCACAGACAAAGCTCACAGGGCATCTGTGGAAGCAAATGTGTGAGTCAACTCCTAATGTCTCTGTTCACGTTAAACAATTGAATCCCCTCTCGTACTTTGTACCAATTAATCACAGCTAAAAGTGATGCACAGATCCAGCTTGAGGGACATTGATTCAATGATTAAGCTCGGTTCCCTTCAGGAGACGGTTTTGGAATCTCACTAATGCCATCGGTTGCTGTATAACTCAGACTCCAATACTCCAACAATGTTTTCCCCTTAAGTTTGTAATGTTGTTATAGAGACATACACACTCACAGCACTTTTACAGAAAGCATTAATGCATTTAAGAGAAAATGTGATGCATAGATCACAGAAAATGGAATAGAGGGTAAAGCAGTGGGATAGGCAGAGGGGATTTGGATCAGTGAAAACTCATTTGGATCATAAACGCTGGCACAGACTGATTGGGCCGAATGGCCTGTTTCAGTGCCACAATTCTTAAAAACATTTCAGGAATTGCTGCAATCTCAAACTGCCTTGGTTTCCGGGCATGGAAGTTGTAAAGCAAAACACTTCCCATTGTACCTGAGGGTACTATGCTGCCATCTGTGCTGCACGAGGACATCTCAAAGAAGCTTCTTAAAATCACAGGAAGTGCACCAGTGCCGTTTCAGCTGTGTCATGATGTTAAGGTCTAGACATTGAAAGTCTTTGAGATTAATATCTTGAATCTTGTTGGTGATGCTGTTAGAATTCTGCTGAGAACAAATCTGTAGCTTTTTTTTTACAAAAAGTGTGGAAGTTGCAATCTACTGTGCATTGTGGGGAGGGTGGGCTTAGCAGCATTCTTTAGCAATGCCTCGAGTTTGAGGAATTTCATAATTTATTCAATGTGATAATTATTGCATCAAATGGATTAAAAAAAACACTGTCAATTTCACCCACAGGTTCTAAATGTGGCTAAGCAACCTCTAGGTATTTAAACAGACACTATAACACAAGTTTTGTGCGGAAGGGGGGGATATTTCTAAACACAATTCTATTGTGCAAGATTATAAATTGCAGTAGACAGGGTCATTTTTTTACGGAAACATCTGTGAGTTGCTCATCACTCTACAGCATTGCACCTGTTATTGCATGAGCTGTCCAAAAAAAAACACCAGCACCATCTGCAAATACACATTTACTTTTAGATGATACTGATTCACATTAGTCAAGCTTAATATAGATATTATGTTCCAATTTATTTCTGACACAGTGGTTATTGGTACATTTGGCAGATTGTTACTGGGAATTTGCAAGCAAGGTTGGTCACAAACAGCTTTCAGTTTTTCTGGCCCCAAACCCCAAATTGGAAAGAAATGCCGGCCGATTTCACTATGTCGAAACATTGCAAAGCAAGATTTGACATTTTACGCAAGAACTTGTGACACGTACAAAGTTGTCATGACTATAAATATTGTAAAAATGTACCTGTGCTTTGGGAGTGGTAAAAGTGCACAAGCATGATCAATGTATTCGTCACATACTCCACTGTAGTAACCTCAATCTATCCATACAATTAATTGTAGATTCCACTTTCATTCTAAATCCAACAGAGCTTCAAAACTTCCTCAGAGAGCTAAAGACTAAAACCCATCATTCGTGCTGTAAATAAATGTTATGGTTTCACGCTAGGTGGGTGAGATTGTTAAGGGAACAATGCACATGTTTCTCCTGGATTCTTTGCTTTCCCAAACTATCAATAATGCTTCTTAATTCTTGGCCTGGCAGAAGTGCTCAAGCACTGATACCAATGTTATGCTCACAAAATTATCGTTTGGTTTACTATCAACAGTCCTAATATTCTTCAAAGCTGGTTCAAATGCAAGGAAAAGGGACAATACTGGTCAATTGACGTTAGCAATTGTCAAGATTTAAAAAATATTGTTTTCATAAACATTTGAACATAAACCAAGTAAAACCTTTCAGGGAGAGGAAGGAAAATGAGGACACTTACCGAGAGCGAAGGGGTGCCATCATCTTCCACCGTGACTGTCAGCTGATAAAAGCCCTGCCTCTCACGGTCAGGTGGAGAAGGACGGGTGACAATCTCTCCAGTCACCCGATCAATTCGGAAGGTGAGATCCTCATTCCCTTGGGTGATGTAGTAGTACAGGACAGCATTAATACCAGTGTCCTTATCTGTTGCCCTGACTCGGGTGACTGCAGTGCCTCCACCAACATTCTGAAAAATAAACATGACTTGTTAAAGGCCTGTTCATTTAGACACAACTAACAAGCAATGCCAGTCAGATGGGGATTTCTGCTGCATTGTTCTTTTCAGCAGCTTTTTTCTTAACAAGTGAGTTTGCCACCTCAGGACTGGAAGTACACAAAACTCACCAGATTGCCAAACTTATGCCAAAAGCTTAGAAATAACCACTTTGGTCTGGAAAAAATCATAATATTGTGTGTCTTAAAACAAGGAAAAAAGCTTCCAACTAAGTGTTGTACTGTACAAATAAATGCTCCTAGATTTTATTTTTATTTGCATTTTGAAATGTCTCAACGACGTGATAAGGCACAATATCAAATGCAAGGATTATTATTTTTTTCCACTTGCCAAACCACTGTTGGTTCATCTGCAAACAGTGTGCAGTGCAGGTAGTGATTAAGCCTCTACTCTCATTAGTGTACCAGTTCATAACTTGGTCTCAGATATTTCAATTTACTGCAGAACATTAAGCAATAACCAGAAGAAATATCACACACAAAAAAAAACAAGGAACTGAAAAAAATCTTTCAATCTCACATTACTCGGATGTGAACGTGACTTTTTCATTTCACAAAGAATTGCAAAATTAGATTCCCTTGTTCTACTCTTGTGTGTGTTGCGTAGCCTTTCTGTGGGCTAATTAACTGTTTTTAACCCGTATCTGATGACCTTTATTAACCATAATTTCAGATGTGCACTTTGTCAGTACGGACAAGTACTGAATTTACCAAGGGGGAAACTGAAACTGAGCCATAAATTCAATCATTGATCATCATGTCAAAACAGTGAGAGGCAGCAATAATCAAGGCAAAAAGGCCATATTTCCAGTTCAGATTCCCAGAAGTCATACTCAAGGTGTTTAGTGCTCTCGTCGGCTGCACCTAAACTATTGCATACAGTTCTGATTGCCATGATATAAGGTATCAGTGGAAGCAGTGTGGACGAGAGCCACAAGGATGATCTTCAGTGTTAGAGATATGAACTACAAACAATGATTACAAGCAAAGAAGTCTTAGACAAAGCTTCAACTTTCATAAGCACCTAATCTATGTTACACTTGACTTAGGTTTGCACAATATTGATATGTTCCCTTTACAGACATCTCTTGTCTTAACTGTATATTCTCTTTGCGGGAAAGGAAAGCGTTGACCTTCATATTGAAAAACAATTTCTCATAATTACAATAGTTCCCTAATACAGTATATGAAGTCAAAATTCAATGTATTACTATAATTTGGAAGAGAAGACAAAGTGTTGTTTCTTTTTGATAATCTTTTCAAAGAACTTACTGAATTTCTTTTTTTTCAAAGAGGTGTGGACTGCAGTTTAAGTGCAGATCAGATGCAAACCTTTTATCTATGGCAGAGCTGTTTGAACACTATTTTTACCCCACAAGTGGACAGGTGTGACATTTGAGAACGTTGATGTTCTGTACTGTGCATTAAAATTAAAAACAGTAAGCATGTTGCAACCTTATAATTTAAAATAATAATTCTAAAACAATTTGAATGGTCAGATAATGTTTGCAAATTGAAAATCCTGTAACTGGGACATTTTTACATTAGGTCTTGAATCAAAAATAATTTTAAATGTTTTAATTCTCTTACATGTACGGTATAAAGGGACTACAAGCTTTCTGCAACACTGAAAAGGAAATTGAATAAATTTGCACCCAGTACCTGCATCAAGCTACAGCATATCTTTCATCTTTGCATCAACAATTTACCTCAAGGCTAACCTCTGAAGAGCAACAGCTACTGGGGTGAAAGAGAGCGATCATTTTCACATTTGCCATCTTCGTGGCACATCTAAGACAAAAAATTTCACTCGAGAACTTATGTAATTTTTCCTGTGGTCATAGGTCCATTAGTTTGATACTAAGCAACTAATTTTATGTAGACCTAGTACTGGGTCTCTCAGCAGGTCAGAGGCTATATTAAAGTCCAACAATCTGACTGACTAGATTTCTAGATGATTGATACATTTCAGCCAAGGCTCTTTGCTAAGTTTCACTTCAAAACAGAGCCCAAGTTCCATTGGGCAGAACAGTACAATTAAAATAATAGGCTCATAAACTAAAAAGTATAGCACAGACATTTAGAGAATCCCTCCTCACCAATTATTTCAGTACAATACAGAAACCAGGGCTATAGTGGGCAGAATTAATCTTACTTCACAAATGCTGATATTGTAGCTCGCAGGAAAGGCAATAATGGGAGCGTTGTCGTTGACGTCGCCAATTGTAATAATCAGGGTGTGATTCGTCCTCTGCGGCTGGAAACCATTATCATGTGCTTGAATCTGAAAAGAAAGGGTCAGCTTTTGTAGTTCAATATTTACTATTCACCTCAATAACACGTTTATATTTTGATTTATATCACCTTAGTGCCCTTTGTACCATAACCATGCATATCAATTTTTTTTATAACATGCGTATCAATAACATTGCACAAAATATACAGTAAATTAATTTCTGCAAAATGCTTTAAGTCTCAAAGATGTGATAAGGGGCTATCAAATACAAGGATTATTATTATTCTCAATCGTGTACTTTATTATTCCAAAGGATGGAAACAAAACTCAAAAAACCATCAAGATTTTATAACACATACTGTGAAATACAAATCATTGAGGGAGGAGGGGAGAGGTTAGTAAGAGAATGGAGACCAGACAAGATGACAAGGACAATTCCAATATTTTCAGATATGTCAAGAATAAGAGGTCACAGGTTCAGGAATGAAAACATTTCTTTACACTGAAGGTAATTGACAAATGAAGTTAGCATGAAGGGTGGTTGAGTGCAACCACTGGAGTCATTTAAGAAACAGTTTGATACAGGAATGAGAAGATTGTAGGGTGGATATTGTGGAAGAATCAGATGAAATGGGCCAAAGGGCCTTCTTGATTTGAATCTCCTTTGTGGCCATTTGGATATTTATTTTGCTATGGTGAATTTTAAAAGCAACACTGAAAAATACAGGATGCACCTCAAAACTTTAAGGAACCCATAGTGGGACTTGGAAAATATAATCCAGATTTCAGAGTCATGAAAATAAGGCTTGTATCTACAGGTGGCCAAATCAATGGGACATTGTATCAATGACTTGAGTTCTTAGTCATTGTGCCAGAAATAACAGGATGCAGATTTGTATTTGTAGCTTCCCACACTGTGAGTTTGTGACCTGTAACAAGGCCATCAGGGAAGGAGTAAACTCAGGCAATGTACTTCGCCTCTGATAGGAAGGTGCAACTGACAAGCTGTCAACTGAGGCTACTCTTGTACGTCTTGAGCAAGTGTTTTTTAATCAATGTGTGTTCTTTTCTTGCTTGGTTCCTGCTTTTTTGTTATCTGCTAAAATGGCATGTAACACTGGTAAAAATATAAGTTATCAGCACCATACAAACACCAACAGTACTGTATGGAGAGGGGAGCTCAACCATGATCAGCTTAACCGATCAGAATAACTGCTCCAGGCCAGTGGAAGAAAGCAAGGCCAGCCAATAAATGAACAGCTCCAACAGTGCATTTCATGTCAAAAGGTAAGCAACACTCGACCATGTTCTGGATGGAAAGCAGGGGTTGGTCTGGTGTATCTTGCGAAAGAAAATTAAAGAGAAGATTGCAAAGTTTTGCAATGTGAAGTACATTTTCCTGTAGTTATAGGCATTTTCTACTAAAATTAGTGCATTGGCTAAAATGGTGTCATTGTGGCCATTTTCCATTGGACAATGCTGATTTAGTTGACTGGAAATATAGTTTGACAGTTTATGTAAGAGACATCTTCATGTACATAATGCTTCATAAGAGAAAATTATATTTAAAAAATGTATTGTTCAGATGCAGGGTTAATCTGCAAATATTGTTAAGTATCCATCAACTCATCCAGATCGATATCTTCTAGGGATCAAAGCTGAATGATGAGCAATCCTTTCAGGTCTCCAAAGATTCTTAGAACAAGGAAAACACTCCTGAATTGTAGTCATAATCAATATTGTTCTTTTTTTGGGCCAATTTCAAATGCAGTGCTTCCCTTTTTCAGGATCTAAAATGTGGTGGCAAGTTGTGTGACACATTAAAATAACATTACAGAATGTGCTTAAAGTGTATTCCTATATTCCTCAACAAAATAACATCAGAGTTGTTTCTGCATTTTGTTGGTGCTATACAAAAATGCAAGGGAAATGGCACAGAACTCAGGAAAAGATTGATCTGTAAGTAAAATATCTATAATCAAGCAGGGTGTAGTCATTCTGCTGATGAATTGGCAGTGACTGACTAATAATGTGAATCCAGGAGCTAAGCTGCAACCCCAAGATCCAACTAATCCCCTGATCATCCAAAGGTAACTTTTATTTACGACTCTTAATGTGGCAGTTCCAGAAGCCGACAGCTGTAGATGGCATGATAAGTGGTGCTGGATATGAGTCGGGCTGCAGGGCAGCAGATTAATGTTCTGTTTTGTAACAATGGCTCATAAATCTGCAATTCAGCTCCAAACTGGCAAATAGATAACACAGGCAGTCATTGTGAGACATAGCCATTGAGCAAGTCACTTTTGGTAGCTTTTGGTAGTCCTAAAACAAAAATTCTCTACCATTCTCAAAGGGAAAATGGGAGCTATGTTGTACTCAGAGATTAAGGCCTTAATTAACCAATACCTGCAGGATTGAAAGATACTTCTTTTGTATTTTGTGCATGTGTAAGGGATGGAACATAAATTTTACTATCGACTAACATTTTACCGCTACAAGCAATATAGTGATAACATGTTTGACATACTGGATTTCAAACACACTGTACACTCTTAGGATGAGTTGTCAATTGTCCACACATTAAGTTCTTGATCTCTTCAAATTATTGAAAAAGAGAAGCTTCTCCCGGTATCCGGGCCAACAATCCCCCAAATAAAATTGGTCATTCGTTTCATGGCTGTTTGTGGGACATTGCTGTGTGCAATTGGGCTGCTGCCTTTGCCTACAAATGCACATTCACTCCATTTCACTGCAAGATGCTGTGAATCGCTTTTAGATATCCTTCTGACATAATAAGGCCTTATGCCAAATGCACGGATTATTATTATCATTATTATCTTTGCTCTTTGCTCTGGGGTGATGTTTCATTTCCACTCTCTAAGTTATGGCACTTCCCTCATGTGGTCGAGGTCAGTATTGTTTTCAAACTAGCAATCCTTCCCTCGGGGTTATCTTCAGTACTTAAACACACAGTAACTGGTGGAAAATCGAACAGACAAGATTAACTTCATTCAAAGTTTGATTTTTATATGCACTGATTGTAAAATGTATTCCTTAATTATTTGGTTTTCAGTGCACTGATGCGTGTAAAATGGCCTGAAAGCAAGTGCACTAAATTGAGCTGGAGCTCCAGCATTCAGACAATGAACAAGTTAGAATTTTATCTCAATGAATAAGGTATCTTCTAATGACCACACAGTTAAAGAACAAAACCATGCTCTGGATCAAGGGCTCATAGTGATCTTTTGACTTACAGTTAACACGTATCTACTAATCCATTCTCTGTCCAGTAGCTTAGCAATGTACACCTCGCCACGACTATTGTTTGTGGTACGGATCCTAAATGCTCCATTGGTATTTCCAGCCAGAATGCTATAGTTAACCTTCATTTCAAAATACAGGAAGAGAAAATTGAAAAACACCCCAAAATATTATACAATTCACAACACAAATAATCTAAAGTAATATTATTCATTTGTCCAATTTGGTCCCCTCAAAAATGACATAGTACCTTAAAACTGTGTGGGTGGTAAACTGTGCAAGAGCTTTTAAGGGACAATTTCTAACATTAATAAATAACTGGTCACACAATGCCTCTAATATCATCAAAAATGTAACACTTGATATCGAAGTACTACATATCCTCAGTCTCCTGGCCATTGTAATCTGCAGCAGGAAGCAGAAACCAAGATTCTCACTTCTTATCGCGTAACAATTTGGCCTGGCAAATCAATCCAGGCCAAAGTTGTTCTGTGACTTCCATCAGTGTCAGGCAACTTTGAAAAATCATCTGGATCTCTACTTTATGTATCTGCTTCTAAGTCACTACTGATGTGTCAAAATAAAGGGCTGTTTGGATTACTGGTGCTGCAATTGACCAAATAAAGGGGTCACCGGGTGATGCAGAGAGCAGGTAAGCAATCTGATCACGATTACACATTACAATCGACCCTCCCAATGGACCCTAATCGCTATTGTGCTGCTTGCAGTACTGTCAGTGAAGATTCCACTTTTTCATGAGACTCTGCAGAGTGTGACCTCAGAAATGTTCATATCTACTTTTCTGCAAGAATTTGATGCCCAGATTGAAGACCTGGAAAATTTGAAGAACATCTTCAAATACCATGAGAAGAATGGTGTGGGGGGTCTGTAAAACAAAAGTACAATTACATCTTGTAATTGAGTCGTGGAGTCCTGTAGCTTAGTGGTTAGAGCACTCGCTTTGCAAGCGAGAGACCTGAGTTCAATTCCAGGCAGGGTGAAATCTTGGGCAAGTTTCCTTACTCCACACGCCTAATAATAATCCCTCCAAAACCAAAAAAAATAATAAATTGGTCATTTTCAATCTACGACTGTTTGTGGGACATTGCTGTGCGCAATTGGCTGCCGTGTTCGCCCACAAATATGCAGTCAATTCACTTTACAGTGTGTTCCGTGAAGCGCTTTGGGACGTCCTCCCGACGTGAAAAGTGCTATATCAAATGCAAGGATTATTATTATTATTACAATAATAAAACTGCTTGCATTTGATTTAGTTTCTATAACCTCAAAGCCTCTCAAAGCTCTTCGCATTAGAAGTTTCTAAAGACTAAAGACATAAAATAGATTACACACAACTGTTCCTTCTGGGTGGATGACAGGAGCAGAGTTCCCATGACAAACATCCAGTTACAAACAAAAGTCTTCATTTACGAATGCGAGTAAGAATTACAAAGTAGGAATGCAAATCCTGGTTGCAGCTCCTATGTTTTAGACCTGTTATTCAGTACAAGTTGACCTTTAAAATGAAATGGTTAAACATAATGTTTAAAAGACAAAACAATCCCTGCTCATGCATGACCACAGCGTGTGCACCTGTATGGGAGGTTTAGATATGTACTTTACTGTCACGCAAGGGCATTGATTGTTAATGACAGTTAGTTGTGAGTAAATTTTATCACAATTGTTTACTATTATTTACTACCAGGCAATCTGATAACCAGTGGAAAATGTACAGCAATAACATGTTTCCATCTTGATTCTATTGCAGGGCAAACCGTCAGATTAATCCAACTATAATGGGGCCTTGTTATACGGTAGTATAAGTTTCCTTATACGAATTGATTCAAGCAGTTTCAAATTTACTGGCACAAGAAATCCTACTGCAGGTCACCCGCCTTCCAATCAGATCACGTTCTCTCCACTATTCACATTAGTGCAGCAGACATGCAACTGAAAATTCTGTTTTACCCAAAATCAGACATGCTTAGTACATCCCAGTTTTTTAGATGTAAGGTACCAGTTACCCCATTCCACTAAATGCAAATAGCAATCACAATTTGCCTGCTGACAGCTGGATAGTATTTTTCACGTTTGCAAGTACAAAATGTTCAATATGCCCTTAGGTCAGACGATTGACAATAATTGCAGAAATTATCTGGGCAGGATAACAAAACTAATGGGTTGAAGGAGCTGAATTAATATGGTTGAACTGGCAAGGTCACTCACTGAAGCACTTGGTGCTGGTGAGTACAACCACCGATGTGAATGCATCTCATACCTACTGTTAAGTTCAGTAACCAGGGATGAATTTTATGCTCATTTGATTGGTGGGAAATGAAATTGTTTGGTGCCGCTGTCATTTTTCTGACAACTTTAAGTGCAAATACCAAGCGCTCTTCCAGTACGGGAGTTTTGTTCAATTGATTCATGAGTGTAGGGAATAGGACAAAAACTCATTTCACTTTGAACTCATATTACTATCAGGGACAAGATTTTATCCATAAAATACAGTCACACCACTTTACAGTATGTCCTTTGAAGTGCGTTGAGACATTCTGATGACGTGATAAAGCGCTATATCAAATGTACAGATTATATTATTATAAAATAGGTTATTATATAATTTGGGCTTTGAGTTGACAGAATTGTAAGGTGCTATACTTAAAATTTACTGTAATATTAAACAGCAATTACTGAAAATGACACATAGATTGTTCAAGCAGAATTCTCTTTGTATATTTTAATTCGGAACTCACACTGGGTACATCATTTTAAAGTCATAGTATACTTAACATACTGCAATCTTAGCATCGAATTGGAGAATTATCTCTAAATGATATTAAAAAATGCAGTATAAATGCTGTTCAATTTGATATTTAGTTGCAGTTCAGGTGGGCTGGCATACATCCTAGCAGAAGGTGGTTTTGGAAGAAAGCAATTCACATTGCTGCAGGACGAATACAAATGATGCAAATCGATTCAAAACCTCTGTCTACCCCCACTGATCCTAAGTGTGGCATAAGATGGTATTGCTATGTTATGTTACCTTTTAAGGAACGCTACTACTTATAACAGTTCAGATAAGAAATGATGTACCTCTCTTCAAACAAAAGATAATTTCTTTACCAATACTTATGAAGTGCAGAGATACAAACCAGTCCATTGTTCTTTGCATCCAGATCATAGGCAAGGAGAACAGCTACCCGTTTTCCTATGGCAGCATCCTCTTCTACTTCCACTGAGGAATCTGAGGTAACATCAAACACTGGACTGTTGTCATTCTCATCCAGAATAGCAATGGTTACCTGTTGAATGAACAGCGGGATCAACTGTCTTTGCTTCAAACAAATACAATACAACTTATATAGAAATTTCAAACTTTGGATTCTTTGATTGCTGCTGATATACTTCATACACTGCAAATGTTCTTTAAAAGCGAAATGAAACTTCTTAAGACCTGTTATACCAATTGACACAAGCAAGGTTGTCGCATGAAGGATCTTTTGGCAGAAGCAGATGGTACTTTGCTAAATACCCTAATATAGCGTGAAGCAGAGTGATATGGCTGTGGTTTCTGTTCGTGATTCCTCACGCAGAGGACGACAAATCTTTACTGAGAAGAGTAAGAAGCACTGAACTGAGACAAGGTATTTTTCCACAGAAAGAGAGAAAAAAAATCAGTTCTTCTGGGTCACTCTCGTGCAATGCCAATCGAAGAATGCATAACCTTGGTAGATGCTTGGGAGAATTCTATCTGCCTATCACCCTCTTACAAACATTCAAAATTATTTCTGGAAATAATTAAGGACCCATGAGTTCACTTTTCAAGATTTGACTTTAGCAGCTTGAAGGATGATCCTTATATAATTTAAACGGTTGCACAAGCCTTGTAAAACTGATAAGATTCAATTTTATACTTTTAGGGCTCAATCATTTGCTGATGGACCTCCCAACTTTGAATCATTTGGATCTTACCTGGAAATTCAGACCACTTTGGCTTTTATTTTGGTTCTGTGCCAGTGATATATATTTTGTGCAGTTTTGATTTGTGCCACGGTTAAGCAAGAAGAATAGAGTATGTGCATTGTTTGCCTAATAAAATTTAAATGCTCTTGGAATGAAGCATGTTGAAATTCAGATAAAATAACTTGTGCAAATTATAAAATATTGTTTGACGTAAGAACAGCAAAAAAGAGGGAGTCTTTCCAAAAACCTACTAAAGCTTGGCATTGGAAGCAGCATACTTTAGCCAGAACTATTATGAATATTATGTTAACTGGGGAACTGAAGCCAGACTTGTATTTAGAGTTGTATTAAAATAATCAATTAAATGTACTAAAAGTCCATTTTGCAGCAACATACAATTGAAACCATACCTCCTGACCCATAAAAACTATGCTATTGTTCTCAGAAATCTATTGATCTATTGAATATTATCGAACGACATCTTGTGGTTCATCTCACCACATGTCTAGCAACACTACATTGCCAATTGCATCTTGGGCTTTACAATGTTATGGCCATACTATCACCCAAAATCGATTACATTTCCAATCTATACCATCAAAAGTGTGGAAAGACAGTTCACACATAAATCAGGCTCTTGCACACAAATAACAGAGGTACAAAAACCAATAATAACTGCTTACCTTCTGCTCATCCGCAACAAGAAGAAAAAAACAGAAAGACAGATTTAATGTAATGGTAATTATCTGGACACCATCACAGAATAAGAAAACCACCTTGATAAAAAGTTACTTATCTAGGATTCTGAAAACACTATTTTGAGCAATTGTTACATGACAGGTACTTTAGTCACAGTTTTATATACACATTATAAAAATACAACACAATTTGTCTCAAAATCCTCAGGTCACTGTCCCCTCTGCTCCCTTTAGAGATGACTGATGGCTCTCAGTTTCAGGTTATCACAGACATGGTTAGTTGATGGATAGAAATGAGTTGAGGTTATTTGCAGTAAATTCCACCACAACTGTACTGTCTCATTTGAAAACAGGTGCATTCTTACCACTGTTGAGTCCTTCCTGGGTCCCCCATTGTCTGCTATGACAGTAATTAGATAGAAATCTCCTCTTTCCCGGTCCACCTGTCCTCTCACGGTTATTATACCCTATTGTGGGCAAGAGGAAAGGATTGACATCAGTGAGAGTCCTGTTTGAAAAGAACAGACTTTACAATCTTCAACAGTCTGAGAGTGAGATTCAGATTGGGAAACAGTAATATCTACTCTCACTCACAATGTGACAGTCGTATTCACACTTGTAAAAAAAAATCTTAATTTCTGCAAATAACTCTGGCTGATATTGCTACAATAAAGGACTGCCAACAACCAGGATTTTCATACACTGAACACTCTGAATATAAAATGGAGCACATAATTGAAACTTGTCCTGATAAGTAATTAGCGTTTGTAGCATTTGATTTCAACATATTTTTCACAAAGACAATGCCCCTTCAATAAAGGTGAAATTTGGGGCAGTTCAAGACAGCTAACCATCGACTTCTTTCTGCGTAAGTTGCTGTAAATAGCAGGAGATGAATATTGAACTCTCGTACTCAATGTGAGCAATTTCAGTGAAAAGTACGTGTCGTGAAGGCACTCCTGCACTTTCAGTGCTAAAATGGAATTCAGAGTTAACTTAGCATTGAATTGCCTGAAAAGTCTACAGTTAAATTAACTGAATATTTCCCAACACGAGAGCCAACAATTTATGGCAGACTTTCTACCATCCTCAGGAGCCTGATTCCCGTGAATTAACTCATTAAACTTAAGCATATAAAAAGAGGAAGTAAACTGCTTCTGTAATTTACTTGCTGGGCAAACAGCCTTGGTCTGCAATGGGTATGTTTAAAAAGCACCAGAAATAAATCCAGCAGCTTAGAAAGTGTCAAGTCATCTTATCGCATTCTTCAGAGCATGATCAGGAAACAGAAGCTCCATATAAATAAGTACACTTACTGGCTTTCAACGGCAGTGATCTAGTACAATATTTTGTATTTTGTTAACCGCAAACTATTTACTTGGCTGGAGTTCAGAAAAAAATGCTCCACTCCTCAAAATACAGGTTCATGGAAATCTTTTTTTATAAATTCTTCCAGCTCCAAACTAAAGGAAAAATAAGTTTCTATATAGCATAACTGGCACAATATCAAAGGCCTTCTCAGGGTGAAAGGCATGGATAACCTTGTGTAAGCAAAGTACTGTATTTAACACACCATATATTGTGATTACAAGCCTAAGAGGATACTGGAATTAAATTGGCAAGTTACAAGTAAGATGAAGCATGCAATGAGATGTTAATTAGCCCACCCACTCAATCCATTTTCTAACAAACAATGAACAATTTGCCTCATTGTAGATTATATCAAGCACATTCAGTCATATGTACTCTAATAATAATAATCCTTGCATTTGATATAGTGCCCTATCACGTCTTCCAAGAAGTCTCAGAATCTACTGTAAAGTGAATTGTGACTGTATAGTTTGTGAGAGCAACATGGCAGCCAATTGTATACAGCAGTGTCCCACAAACAGTCATGGAGTGAGTGACCAAATTATTATTATTTTTGTTTGAAGGGATTATAAACCCCGGAAAAGCGATCTGACAATCGACTAACAAAGAAGTTCCTACTTACAACTACGTAAGCCGAGGTGTTTGGAGTAAGGAAATTTGCCCAATGTTTTGGCCTGCCGGGAATCGAAATCAGGTCTTTCTCTTGCGAGGCAAGTGCTCTAACCACTAATCAGCCATCAATAATCTTTCAAGAAGGTAAAATCAGAAGGGCCATTTCCTTCTACAAGTAACTTTAACATTAGAGATCCCTTTAATGCCTATGTGAGCACAATTTTAAAATATAACTAGCAATGTGATTGCCTCAATATTGGACCTTAACATTAAAGATTGAGGGCAGTAAGGCCAGACTGAAGACAGTCTTGGGAGGGTAACAGAAAATCAGGTTGTCAGACAATCATCCATTCATCTTGTTACCACCTTTGCTGTGGGAAATCAATTAAGGATAATGAAGACAGGAATCTGATTGAAGGATGGGATCTGTGTGCTCATCCTTCAGATCAATCCATTGATCCAAGTTTCCCAGAACAGTACGAACAGATCAATCTATTTCTCTTTAAACAATTTAGTGCAGCCAACAACACCACAGAAAATAGAACTTCAGTATACTCACAGTGACTCTGTTGATCTGAAATAAAGACAAAGCTAGGGCAGAAGTGTCAGGATCAAACCTGTAGGTAATCTGATTCATAATGTCAGCAGATTGGGCATGGATTTGTATCACATCAGTCCCAGTGGCTATATTTTCCATTAGTGTAACTTCATATGTTGCATTTGTAAACTGTACGGGCTCATCCAACTCATTCATCAAGGTGATATATACAGTGCAATAGCCTCTGTTGAAAGGTGCGGCCTGATCTGTGGCAGAAATATTCATGAGATAATTGGTCCTGGTTTCATAATCAAGATAGTCTATTGTAGTTATAAGGCCTGTACTTTCATCAATGGCAAATTTCCTCTCCGATCCAGCCAAAATCCTGTAGGCCACTATGCCTCCATCGCCTGAACATAGAAAAAGATAGTTTGCGTTAAATTATTGCATGTGCAACTCCTCAGTAAAAATCAGATGACGATCAATGCATATATCTCAATGGTAATGTTGGTACACAAAAAGGTGTAATTTGTAAACCAGGCAAAATGAATGATGACTGCAGAGGGCATGAGAGAATATGTATTTGACATTCAACTCAAACCACATACAAATTATTTTGTAGCACATTTAATTTTCATTAGAAATAACAACTACAGTATCATTGTCCCAATTCATCTTTAACAATTCCTTGTCAACAACATTCAGAAGGTACATCTGTGAAATGGCAGATTTGGCAACCTGGGAATCAAATCTGCGATCCCTGTTGGTTAAATTAATATTTTCTTCCCTGAAATATGTTAAGGTGAAAGAGTTAGAGTTGGGGAATGAACATTATTGCTTTGGACACTCCATGTAAAAATCAAGTGTTTGAATGTCAGCTTCAACACAGCCGTAGGGCATGTCAAAGATGCCTCAAATTTGCGAAATAACAAAATTTAGCCTCAAAACTTAGTAGATCACATCCTACCACTCCAACCTGATTCCCAGCCCCCCCCCCCCCCCCCATTTTCCTCATCAGTTATTCTTAAAACCAACCTGTGGTTGATTGAGCACTGCGGCTCATATGCTCACTAAGAACCCAATGGAGATTGATCAAACTAAGTTTATTATGAGATTTTAATGGTTTCAAAAAGTTTACAGAAAGGGCCAGTCAGCTCTAGATTTGTCTAGGCGTTCAGTTTTGATGGAAAAATCAGAAGAAATAGTAGACCAATTGAATTTGCCACTGACCTGTATCTTTGTCTGTTGCCCTAACAACGTTCACTGAGGTTCCTATGCCTGCCGTTTCCCTCAGTCCAAGCCGACTGTACTGTTGCTGAGTAAACACAGGGCTCTCGTCGTTCACATCTTCCACATAGAGAATAACCTAGAAAATTAAATCAGATCAAGAATAAGAAAGCTAAGGAGAACTGTTGCATTCATTTATTATTAACAAGTCACTCATTAACCAAAGCAAAGAAGTGGGTTTACTACTTATTAATGTTTGTATACATCTCTCCAATTTTAGAATACAATAATAACCCTTGGATTTGATATAGTGCCTTATCACATCGTTGAGATGTCTCAAAGCATTTCACAGAATATACTGTGAATTGACTGTGTATTTTCAGGGTGAAATGCTGCAGCCAGTTTGCAAATGTGATTACTCAATATCCGAAACAGAAGAGCTTGCTCTGTTGCTCTTTCATTTAGTGAAAAACCTTTGTGCAACATCATAATCTTGTGAAATTCCAGTCATATCAGAGGAAGCTTCATAGCAAAACTCAGCGGCAATTTTAAGCGTAGGAGAAGACTAGATTTAGTAAAACAAGATTCAGACATACAAGCAACAAAAAACTTGCAAATGCTAATTGTTACTATCGAAATTAGTACAGGAGTCATACACTTCTGGAACAGTACATGACTTCAGCAATAGTCTCTCTTTCTGTCAGTTTACCAACTATACTAGGATTTAGGATTGTATCGTTTTGATCAAGCAGGAAAAACTCAGATGTAAAAGCGTCAGAATGGTAAATAAAGCCACACCAATACATCAATAAACCATGGGTGGGAATCCATTTGGCAATACATCTTTGAGCTCAGATAACCATATCAATCATTCCAGCTTCTTCTCACATGCGGTTAGTAATCCTTTGTGATTCAGCCATTTCTTTTCTCTGTGACACAATGAATTACGTATATTTTAATCACTGTATGAACAAAAGAACCAATCGTGGACAATTTAAGGAAAAACAGGTGGAAACTCAAAAGATCTGTTGAATGTTATCTTCATACAATGATTGTTAAGGATTAACACAGTCCCTTACTCTGACGGAGCTCCTCATTCTTCCAAAGTCATTATTATATGCCTCCACCTCCAGTACGTGAGTGTTACTGGTCTCTCTGTCCAAGGGTCGGGAACCTCTGGAAATCAGCCCAGCATTTTCATTAATCTGGAAGTTATCATTGGCGTTTCCTTTTTTTATAAAACAAAAACAGACAGGGATGATACTCAAGTTAAAAATATATCACACTGACTGGAGTTTCCTCAAATTACAAAATAATGATAACTGCTTTCTCTTGTTGATTTCCTGTGCTTCTTTCTGAAGTTCATCAGTTCACTTGGGAGTGACATTCTTTCAGGATGCAGCTTGCTGGAGAGCTGCATTCAAATTAAATAACTGGATATCTTGGAAGCTAGTAAAGCTTTGTTTCCTATGCACGGAGAGAGCCCTGAATACTGTGTAATAACTTGTACCTATTTTACAAGCAAACAATATTTTTTTCTTCTTTATCTGAAGCTACTGTCAGAATTTGCTACAAAAATCAGCTCAGTATAGAAGTATCCTTCACAACGTCAACTTTTAGAATCAAGGTACATAGTGAGTTAAAAGAAACACAACACAGCATATTTCTATCAGCACATTATCACTGTTCTTGGAACAAAGTTCTTGCTAAACGTTACTTCTTGGGAAGGGAAAATGCGACTTAAGGTCAAAAAGAGAATACGCAGCAGACAAGAAAAATGTTCAAAACAGCAGAAAATAGAGATTACATTTTATGCCTTTTAGAAATTCTCCTTCCCAAGACTAACCCTCCTCTAACTCACCCTCCTTCCCACCTGATCAATGATCTCTCACTGCCCTTGTGAAATGCTCGAGACATTATCCTTCACGAAAGTCACTTCATAAGCGCAAATTGTCGTAGTTGTTGTAGGTCGTTTTCTGAAAGATTCATTCTCAATACTGAGATCCAATTTATGATGGGCTCTCAAACTATTGACACTTTTAATGGAATTTCCAGTTGATGAGAATTTATTGTGTCTTGATAGGAAGTGCTGGCATGCTACTCAACCAATTTGGGTGGGGGGAAATCATAGACATGTACAAACTGATCAACATCCAAACATATGTACCTTCAAGGAGAGACAGGCACTTTGAATGTGAATCAGAAGTGGGAACCTTGACTGATTTAGCTTCCTCCAAGGCCATGACAACCTATATTGCCAAGTGCTGCACTGGGTGGTGCTTTACCCATAGACACATTTGGGGAGTTCTTTTTGAGCTTAATATTATTTCAGATATTTAAGTTTAAATATAAGAGCCTTGTTGCTTGCGTGCTCCTTCATTGTAATGTTTAGAGTGGCTTCTTTTCTGCCCCGAGACGTGAAAGGAGAAGAGTGACAGCAACGGTGTGACAGCTTGTCACAGGGTAAAGTCTGAGAAAGTGAAGGAAGTGCTGTGAAGAGTTATTGCATTGTTTCTGAGGCCACAGGCATGCTATGAATATTAATATATCACCTCATCTGGTACATCAAGCTCCGGATCTGCTGCTCGTCACACTTCCTCGCATTGTTTCTTGACAAATCTTTAAAAAAAATTCTGCCTCTCACCTCAGCACAAACTCCCTAATATCATGTATTAGAGATTGATTGTTTGTCGATACTTGGAAGTCATTCTGGTTGATAGTTAATTAAAGATCAGCTACACCCATTGGGTCACTGTCTACATAGTTATACTTTTGACCCTGATCTCTTTTTGTTGTCACTTTTGTAATCCGAAACTCCAAAGAGCACAGCGAGCCAACTCTAATTGAGCCTGGAGCTGGTTTGGGGAAATAATAATAATAATAATCCTTGCATTTGATATAGCGCTTAATCACATCGTCAAGACGTCTCAAAGCGCTTCACAGGATATACTGTAGAGTCGAGTAGTCTTTTGTGGGTGAAACGTGGCAGCCCACAGCAGTTTCCCCACATACAGTTGTGGATTGAGTGACCACATTATTTTTATTTTTGGAGGGATTATTACCCCCAGAAAGCGATCTGCCAATCGACTGACAAGCGGGTTCCTACTTACTGCTAGGTAAACAGAGGCATGTATGTGGAGCAACAAAACTTGCCTAAGGTTTCGCCTTGCCTGGAAATCAAATCCAGATTCTTCTCGCTTGCAAGGCCCGTGCTCTAACCACTAAGCTACAGGAATCCACATTATTAGGGTAAATCCAACATAAATCTGTTGGGTTTAGACTAATAATGCACAGTTTATAAACCCAAAAGAGTCCTCCAACTTTCCCTGTATAATGATGTACACAATGTAATTTTGCTGCAGGATAACACACACCCATTTATACTCTGCATTGCTTTAACCAACTGAGTAACTGCCTAGGATGTTTTGTAATGTAAGCCAAGCTTGTAAGAGGAGAAAGAAAAAGCAACTCAATGAGCATGGATCATCTATGAATATCAACCAGAATGGCTTATAGGTACCAAGATATAGTACACTCGCTGAAACAAAATACAGGAGTCTGACTACTCAAAGTGTGGTGATCTAAGATGCATGATTTGAAGATTTTTTTGATGTGATTTAATGCGTACGAATTCAAACTATCATAAGATAAAGTAAAATAAGAGGAGACCAGAGAAAATACTAGTTTGTGCACTCGATTCATCCACAGATCAATTCACAATTATAGCAGTGCTGTCCAGAGGAGACTTCAATGAACACCAGTCAAAACTCAGTGTTACCTGAGAGGATTCTATACCAAACATTCCCATTGTCTCCCTCGTCTGCATCAGTAGCTTCAACCTATGAAAAAACCAAAATGGATATTTCTTGTTAATAAAGGTGCTCTTACAACTTCAAATGAATTTCTTAAAAACAATGCATTTCCCTGGCCGCCTATTTTCACGTGACTTGTTTTGCAAAGTTTTGCAGTACAACAAAAGCATGATTTGTTTTCAAGATTAGAACAAAAGGTGCAACTTGGATATTGAAGCTGCATGACAAAGGCAATGCAAATAAACTGGACCAATTAAAAGTGACAGCAAGACTGATGTGCAGCAAAACAAAAAAAGAAAGTGAGCATGAACTTTTTCAATAAAATAAATTGGTTTAGGAGTGGCTATACTTGAAGCATTTCTTGATGAGTATATGCTCAGCTCAAGACAAATATTGATTTAAATAGATATAAATTTGAGTTTCTACAGTACCTTCATTCGCAAACAATTTTTGTTCACGGAGCTTATTTTCTAGATGAGGTTCCTATCCTGATAAACATAAGCAGGAGTGCCCTCTGCTGTTGACATCTGGTCAATGGTCACTTCAAAAACTTTCCACGGTTTCGACAATGTTTGTTTGGAACAAAATGTATCTCAAAATTTGAGAGATTCATGGCATTCTATCTGCACATAATCTGAATGGAGTTTGGGCTAAATCACTATTTCTATCTTTTCCTTTATTAAGAATTAAATTGCATTTCTAACATCAATAACACAAGCACAGAACAAATAAAGAACCCAAGCCCACTCCTTCCACAGACTCTAAGTATACTCCTCTATTGTGATTCTATGCTGAGTCTCTAATTACCGAATGAAACTTATTTAGTAAACAGAGACTCAGCACATCTCCTGATATTGTTCTCAATGGGATATTTAGCCAGCTTTTTTCTGTAGCAGTTAATTGCTGTTCCAAACAACCACATCACTGAGCAGAATATCCAATTGAGCCACATAAAAAATGTGTGAAGCAAGAAATTACCCTGAAAAGTTTGCCACTTTAAATTTGGTTGCGCTGAACAACAGTTTCTGTACATTCTTGTTCAATTTCACAGATAAGCTGTGGCAAGAGTTATAGAAAAACTGGGTTGATCACGTCCATCACTCCACCTAACACAGACAGGGTGGAGGGAGTGGAGCCAGCCATGTTTTGAATACAAAACCAACAATGGTGAGGTTGAGCCTGAGAGCCAGTAGATGGAGCTCTTATATTAGGCACAGAAGTTAATACATTGATAGTCCATTTATTCACCGAATTGTGATATTATTTCAAATGAAATGCTGGGTAAAAGACAGAAGAGATAAAAATGATGTGCAAATATTTCTTTTCATCTTAAAATAAATGCTTAAGTGCCAGGTGTCGACTAAAATATAATCATCAGTATATAAATACCCAGTGCTTTCAGGTCCTCTTTTAAAGCACCACTACAAATCTAAATCAAGAGTGCGTTATTCCATTAAAAGTCAGTTCAACAAAGAGTATTTCCCTTGCTCTCCTTTCTCTCACTCATGAATCACCAGCCATGCCAAGTGGGGCCTTATATAGAAACAGCATAGGATACTGAATGAGATAAAGTCAGTAAACCCGGAACAATACAAATCTGTGACCTCTATTGTCAAGGCAAAAGAACAAGAGGCCACAGGTTCAGGATTGTCCAGGTCATTTTTAAGAAGTATTTCTTCACACAGAAGACAACTAACAGCTGGAATGAGTTATCAGTAAGGGTGGTAGAGGGCAGCATACCAGACTCATTTAAGAATCAGCAATGACAGTAGGGTTAGTATTCTGGAATGATAAGATCAAATTAGCCAAAAGGCTTTTGATATCTGAACTGCTTGTGATCTCGTCATTGCTGTTTTGGAAGATGTTACATGGATGGGAATTTTTTGCAATGGAGAAATCTAATCATAGTAGTGACAGGGAGGATTCTGATTAAATAAAAAATTGCAAGAACTAAACAATTCATTAGCCATCATCTTAACCCAAGAATGGATAATGAAACAAGAGGATTTAGGACCTCAAAAATTGTGAGATCTTTCTGGTGGTGACTTACTGCACAAAGAAACTTGAGCAGCAACTTTCATATTAATAATTGTTTCATTCACTCTTTGAAAGATACCTGGTCTTTCAACACTTTTGTGTAGTAGTTGAAGAAGTCGACTCTTGGCAAAACTGAGAATTGCAAATTTTTTTCACAAACTCTGCACAGCACATCACATGCCGGATTACTGGAATTGTTTTTACACCTGACATGCTACCACTTTCTCTCCTTGGTCATGAAAATGCTTTCACATCAGAAGATGAAAACCTCTGGCTGATCAGTGAAGTGAGTATTTTTGTTTTGATCACATTTATCCTTGAAGGAGGCCTCGGATTGGTTACTTCAATGCGAGGTTTCAACACAGCGATTCTGGCTTGCAGCTCCACTAGTTTGAAAGTAATTTTTTTTCTTGCTGAAGCATATCCTATTTATTTGTCACGTTACCACAAACTTAATTCCCCTATGCTTCTTAGACCACTGCATTCCATTTCGGAATCTATTTTCCGCACAAATTTGAAGTCTTATACAAGACTTATAACAAGTTTGAAACACAGACTTTGCTTGGTTTCTTCCATGGGATCATAGAGATCATATCTTGGGTGCGCTCAGAACATTGAACAGTCTTACAATTGATTACAGAATATATTCATGGTATCAGTATTGAAGGCACAATTTTGAAGAGGCGATTTTCTACATGCCAGATATCTAGCTCAGTGGTAAGAGCATTCGCCTCGCAAGCAAGAGGAACTGTATTCAATTCCAGGGCAGGGCGAAATGTTGGGCTGGTTTTCATACTCCATGCCTCTGTTTACCTAGCAGTAAGTAGGAACCTGGATGTTAGTCGATTGCGGATCGCTTTTCCGGTGGCAATAATCCCCTATAACGTCTTCAACCTCTCCTGTAATGGGTACAGTTTATATGGATAATAATCCTTGCTTTTGATATAATAATAATAATAATAATAATAATAATAATCCTTGCATTTGATATAGCGCTTTTCACGTCGGGAGGACGTCCCAAAAAAAAATTTGATATAGCGCTTTCTATCAATTGCGGCAGCCAAATGCGCACAGCAATGTCCCACAAACAGTCGTGGATTGAAGTGAGCAAATTATTGTTTTTTTCTTGAGGGATTATTATAGGTGTATGGAGTAAGGAAACTTGCCCAAGGTTTCGCCCTGCTGGGAATCAAACCCAGGTCTCTCGCTTGTGAGGCGAGTGCTCTAACCACTGAGCTACAGGACCCCACAATTATTGTGTTATACTAGCATTAGGAACCCTTTCTAAGATTCAGATCGGACATTTCACAATCTAAAGTCAAACCCTTTGTCATAGAATGTAATCTTTTACAATAATGCAATCGAGTCTTAGCTAACAATTGAAGACTTTTTAATTGCCTCCTCCATCCCATTCACTCTTGATCCAATTTAGTGAGATTCAGAACTAGAACTTGTTTCTTTTGAGTCACCTTACATCAATTAATAGATTGTTACATTAATTGGTTACAATTTTCTTACTTCAGCACATTTTGGATGACCGAACTCTCCAAACATTTTTCTTCTCATTAATCTGTTAACACAAAACCTGTCTGATACTTAATAGATCTTTGACAAATTAAAACCATTTAATCAGTAATATTCTTTGAACAATTTTGAACTTTGATTATTAAGCTGTGAAGACCAGCCACCATTTCATTTCATCAGTTCATGTATTCATCTTCATGTATTCATTATTTATCAGTCATTAAACAGAAGACCATAGGTAGGGATGAGAGATATCCATCTCTGTTTAGGTCCATGTATAATTTACACTTGTATTATTTTTATCTCCATCTCCTGTAATATCAAATCATTACTTATGCCCAAAGCTCTCAAAGGCTCTACATTTTGCACTTCTTTCTCATTTCATCTTATTCTTCTTAACATTACTCAGAGAAGTGAGTGAGTTGTTTCCCGGCTTCTGTTAATGCCACTCGCAGCTGGAACAAGGTTGGCGCAGGGGATACCTCTTCGCAGCTTCTCCTTCACCTTTACGTAGAGATACCTGGCTTCTGCCTGGAACCTTTCCATTATACCTCAGCCATCATTTAACTGGGTTGAATTAAAGAATTTCCTTTTGGATGCTGAATTTGCAGTTACTGGTGAACCACTCAGGATTCTGACAAAGTGCACGAAACCAATGCAGGGTTGAGGGGACCATCTCTAACTATTATCAAAGATGTAGTGTGCTTAGATTTTGCCAATGCAAATACAGCGAATATTCTTCATTTCTGCAACACTATTTTGTTAAAGGATTTAAAATAGTTTTCAAATTTTACATCCTCCTCTAGGATGATCGATAAAAAAAGTTATTGTGGGCTGAGCAAACATGTACAAAAATGTATATCTGTATTCCACACTGACAAGGGAGGACATCTTTCCCACTCATAGATCACATCATCAGATGGAACATATAGTCAGGTACTGGTTGCTCAGTTTAACAGTACTGGAGCATTCCATTATGAAGGCAGTGGGGAGAAAAGTAAACTCATTGCACTGCTGGAACAAAACACTGGTTTTCATAGAGAAATTGAAATCACTTGAAATGAAATGATGTTGATTTTTACTGAGGTTCTGCAGACACCGTTTTGGAATGCTGGCACAAGATTAAAAAGTTTGCAAGCTGTTGTTCCAGTACGTTCCTGCCCCTCTTCCAAAATGTTCAGCTGAGCAGAAACAGAGAGTGGAGCTCTTTCTGCCTCAGCAAGAAGGACCAACAAGTGAGGACGAGCAAAAGAAGTTTCATCAACTTGTAATGAAAATCAGGTAAAACTGCATTGATCTCAATCTTCTTTTTGTTTGGTCCATCTGCTGGGAGCCTTTGCTTTGTGTGTGTGCTTTCAGGCAGCAAACTGTGCAAACTGTGTCTATTTATTTGGAGGCAGCTGTGTGAATTTTTATGCCATCACTCAGGCTCTTACCACAATAACTTTTAAACAGGCAGGAAAAGT